CCCCCCTCCCCCACCGCTCACATTCTCACGCACAAACACCTTGACGACGCACCACGTACTTTGCTTACGTGAGTTAAGCCCCCTCGTCCGCATTCGCCGCCCGGTCCCCGTGGAGCACCTTACCGCGCTGCCTCCCCTCCTCTCTCCTCCCGCTCTCCATTTATTTCGGGTGGTTCCGGTTGATCCAGGATCTGGCTGGAGCTGGAGGGATGCTGTGCCAATAAACTGCCCGCCGCCCGCAGAGTGTAAATAATCGCATTCGCAGGCTCTCGTCCGATTGCATCGCGCTGATTTTCCTTTTCAAATTTTTAATTTCCGACTGTTTTAATCTTCGTCATTGCCACTTCTAACATTTTAACCCATACTTTCGCTTTGGAAATTCAAGTGGAAATTTTTTTGGTAAGCTACCTGAACTGTTGTATGCCCCGGCCAAATCTTGCTATCACCCGAACCTCAACTACATGTGTGCCGGTCTGTTTGTCTTTTTCAGTGCTCGAGTCTCACGCTTTTAAGTTGAACAGCAATGGCTCATCTGATTGGGAAGCCAGCTCCTAGTTTTACTACCACAGCCGTACTGCGACAAGAGTTTCACAATGTCTCTTCAGAAGACACAAGGGGCAAATTTCTTGTGCTCTTCTTCTATCCGATGGATTTGTACGCTGATCTTCTTTTTGGACTCTTCTCACTATTTTGATAATTGGTCATAACTTCATGAATTATTTATTTACAGCACTCGAGTGTGTGCATCAGAAATAGCAGCTCTTTCAGAACAGATTGCAGAATTTGAGCAAAGGAGTTGCAAAGTTCTAGCTATATCGTGTGACAGCCATTTTACACACTTAGCTTGGATTAAAAAATTACTTGACGAGAAAGATTTAGTTGATGTTAACATTCCACTCTTGGCAGACAAAAATGGTAAAATTGCCAGAGATTATGGAATTTATAATGATGAGCAAGGAGTCTCGTCGAGAGCTTTCTTTTTGATCGACAAAATGCAGGTAATTTAATCATATTGGATTTTAACTGCTTCCATTAAGATTAAATACCTTAAAATTTTATTTTTATGTTCAACAGGTTGTACGTGATATGTCTATTAATGATCGTCCTGTTGCCCGGTCTGTAGAAGAGCTGCTTAGACTCATAGACATTCTAGGATCAGAGGACAAAAATGGTATAATACCGTGAAACTTGTTGCTTGATAATAGTGAATTAGACAATAAGCCCATTCTCAACTTAATGAAAAATGCATAATTTTATTTTTACTGTTTGTTTTAAAAGATGAAACTGAATCAGAAAAGAGAGGATTGAAGCGCCCTTTGGTAAGTGAAGATGAAAGTGGAGCCCCAGTCAAGGCAAGTAAGACATCTGACGAAGCAACTATTTCCTGAAACTTTTATAATTTATTTCAATGCTGCAACATTGTTTCAATCCCTGTGAGCATAACATTTACTTAATACCGTTGTAACTGGAGGCAATAAAACTAATCATATATATCTTTATTTTGTTGTTAATTCTTTCTGAGTCCCTTATGACAAGCGTACTAGAAGAACGCTGGGAGCTGGAAGTAAAATTATGGAGTTTTCTGAGTTTATCTGGCTTGTCTTTGGAGAAGAGAACAATACAGAAGGAACTATTCCAACTATTCAGAATTCGAACCATCCGGGGAGTTCCCCCGGCATTCCCGCGGTTTGGAGTGAATCACAATCTGAATACAAATGAATGAATGAACCAGTGTCTGTTGGGTACGTTCACGGCGACGCGATCGGGCCGGTCAGTTTTGGTCCTATCGTTCCCCTGACAACGCTACGAGCGGAGAACGACAACAAACAAACAACATACATTCCAAACAAACACCTGCCGCTACCGCGTTCCTTTACATCTGAACATTTTTTAAATTTATGCACTCAAAATGAGGACGGTACCGGCATGGGTTGACAAAGTTCAAGACAGGGATAAAGTAGATCAATGGTGAGACTTACCCTCTATTCATGGTACATTTGATATAATTTTTTGTTTGTTTGAATGGCACTAATAATGGACAGGTGCCATTCGGCATGTATCGCAATCTTCTTCAATGATTGACAGCAGGAAGGGGAAGGGCCTAATTGTATGAATTATGACATTGGTTTTTATTCCGTCCATAAGAAATGAAATTTTTATTTCAGCATATATAATCTCTGCTTCAATCCTGATGGCTCACAACTTGTAGTTGCTGCTGGCCAGCGAGTACTTGTGTATGACACTACAGATGGATCATTGATTCAGCCATTGAAAGGTCAGTCCAGAATATGAAAGTTAATACTGTGCTCATCTTGGAATACTATACCTTCAAACATTTTTTTACAGGTCATAAAGACACTGTGTACTGTGTCTGCTATGCTAGGGATGGTAAACGTTTCGCTTCTGGTGGTGCCGACAAGACTGTAATTATATGGAATAGCAAATTGGAAGGTGTTCTCAAGTATACGTAAGTTACCTATTCCTAAATATTTTTATTTACCAAAATTATTATTAATCTAAATTATAATTTGATGCAGTCATGGAGATGCTATTCAGTGCCTAGCTTTCAACCCAGTCACTCACCACCTTGCTAGTTGTGCCATTTCTGATTTTGGGTTTTTAATTGAAGATCAGAAGGCCTGTCAAAAGTATAAACCTGGTGCACGTATTAATTGTTGTGGCTGGACAAATGATGGACAGTACATTGCTCTTGGTCTTGGCAATGGTTGTGTATCTATTCGCAACAAGGTAAGGTATTAGAGGTGACTTCTGATTTTTTGGATTTTTAAATGTGTTATAATGACTTTTCAATTTTTTATAAAATAGTTGGGTGAAGAAAAAGTTCGTATTGAAAGACCAGGAGGCTCATCATCACCAGTTTGGGCTTTGGCATGGAGCCCTGCTAGGTAAATTAGTTTGACCTGTTGAATGTATTTTTATTCTTATCAGTTTACTTTGCAATAAATCTCTCTCTCTCTTTTTTTGTTTTTTTTTGTTTTTTCAGGGAAGAAAATTATGATATACTGTGTGTGGCTGATTGGTCCCAAACTCTTTCATTCTATACTCTTGGGGGGAAACCTGTAAGTGTCATTGATCATCAATCAACCTTTTTTTGGACTTTACTACAGTGGCTGATTTTATGCATTTGTGCTACAGGTCTACAAGGAACGAAATTTGGGGTTTGATCCTCTTTGCGTGAGTTATATGAGCAAAGGGGAGTATATTCTTGTATCTGGATCAAATAAGTGTTGTGTTCTTTTGACACGAGAAGGTATTCGACTCGGCATGGTTGGTGACCAACAGCAATCGTGGGTCTGGTGCTGTGCTGCAAGACCTGACTTTTCTTATGTTGTAAGATTATTTTTAGTTACTTTTGAAAATTATCAATTAATATTACAAATTCTAAATATTTTAAATTTTCTTTTAAACCAGGCTATGGGTTGTCAGGATGGAACAATAGCATGTCTACAGCTGGTGTTTAGTACAGTGCATAGTTTGTACAAGGAAAGATATGCATACAGGTAGAGATAAGTTTTGGTCTCTACTGGATCCTCTAGGTTGCACATTGTCTTGAAATTTAGTGCTTTTTCTTATTTTGCAGGGAAAACATGACTGATGTGATTATTCAACATCTTCTGACAGAACAAAAAGTGAGAATTAAATGCAGAGATCTTATTAAGAAAATAGCCATTTACAAACATCGCCTTGCAGTAAGTTTCTCTGTACTTGCAACCACACAACACACTAGCTTCATAAATTCTTCATGATCATGTGCTAACTTGAATGCTTTATATTTTAAGGTACAACTTCCTGAGCGAGTTGTGATATATGAGCTTTATTCTGGCGATGCTACAAGCATGCATTATCGTGTAAAAGATAAAATTAACAGTAAGCTAGATTGCAATCTCTTGGTAGTTTGCACAAACCATCTTGTCTTATGTCAGGTAAAGGATCCAAATTATTTTTAAAATCTTTTTTGAGATAAGAAAATGCCTGTTTTGTTTTTACTGTTTGCATTTTTTTCCATTCCAGGAAAAGAAATTACAAAGCCTGACATTTTCTGGTCAAAAGGAAAGGGAATGGCTAATGGATTCTCCCATTCGCTACATTAAACTTGTTGGAGGTCCTGCTGGCAGAGAGGGCTTGCTTTTAGGGCTGAAGAGTGGCCAGGTAATTATTACATTATAGGTACTCCCTCAATCATGCTAATCCTGCTGTCATTGCGTAATATTAACCGTATTTTTACAGATCTGGAAAATTTACCTTGATAATGCATTCCCTGTAAGTGTGTTAAAAGTCACTGCAGGGGTGAGATGCCTTGATCTCAGTGCTTCTCGTAGTAAACTATCTGTTGTTGATGAAAATGGGAACTGCTCTGTGTATGATCTCAAATTGAACCAATTATTATATCAAGAGCCTAATGCTAGTAGTGTGGCATGGAATTCACACTGTGAGGATATGCTTTGTTTCTCTGGAAACAACATGCTAAGTATAAAGGCCAGTAATTTCCCAGTTCATCAACAAAAACTTCTGGTGAGTATTTTTAAGACTGTTCACCAAAAATAATTATTAGTTTGATTTTTCAAATCAATTTGTGTCAAAGTAATATGACTCATCTCTTCTATTTTTTTCAGGGCTTTGTTGTTGGATTGTGTGGATCTAAAATATTTTGTTTGAATGTATCTACAATGTCTACAATTGAGGTTCCCTTGTCTGCACCCATGTATCAGTATCTTGAAAATAAGATGTTTAGTGATGCGTACCATGTAGCCTGTCTTGGTGTGACAGATGGGGACTGGCGAGCTTTGGCTCATGCTGCTCTTGAATCCCTTGACTTTGAAACAGCTCGACAAGCTTTTATCAGAGTCAAGGATTTGAAATACCTGCAGTTAATAAATGAGTTCATGGTAATTGTTTGCTTGTGTATCTGTACATTGTACTCTGCATCTTGAATTCTTTTAAACTTATTAACTAATATTTATGTTTCAGGAAAGGCAGCGGAAAGGTGAAAAAGATAGAGATTTGCTAGTAGCTGACATACTTGCTTATAGAGCTCGATTTAAAGAGGCTGCTCGTCTCTATCAAAGAGCTGGCCAGGAACATCGTGCACTAAATATGTACACTGACTTGAGAATGTTTGATCTTGCACAGGTTTGTAGAACTCAGTAGTGAAAACTAATAGCATCTTCTTAACTGTATGTATTCAAATAATTTTATTCTGGTACCATGTAAATGCAGGAGTTCTTAGGATCAGGAGATAGTATTGATCGTAAAGCTCTCATACGGAAGAAAGCTGATTGGGCACGCAATATTAATGAACCTAGGGCTGCTGCTGAAATGTATCTTTCAGCAGGAGACACCCACAAAGCCATAGAAATTATAGGAGACAATGGATGGGTTGACATGTAAGTCAATTTTCCCAATATGTAATCATAATTTTATGTGACTGTTGGTGATTGTAATTTTTATTTGTTTACAGGCTTGTGGATGTAGGAAGACGCTTAGATAAGGCTGACAGAGCTGGTCTTGCCCTTGTTGCTGAACAGTTACGTCGTTTAGGCCATCTTTCTCATGCAACTGATATGTTCCGCAAACTGGGAGAGGAACGTGCTATTGTGCAGTTACATGTTGAGGCAAACAATTGGAAGGAAGCTTTTCAATTGGCCGAGAGGCATCCAGAGTTCAGACACCTGGTATATGTTCCCTATGCCCAATGGCTGGCTGAAAATGATAGGTTTGCAGATGCTCAGAAAGCATTTCATAAAGCTGGTCGACCGGAAGAAGCCTTCAAAGTTTTACAACAGCTTACAGAAAATGCAGTTAATGAATCTAGGTTCCAGGATGCAGGATTCTATTACTGGGTACTTTCGAGGCAATGTCTTGATATTGCAAGGCAGAACGAAGATATTCGTGGAGAAATGTTAAGAAAATTCCAAGAGCACAGCAGTTTTGCCTCTGTATATTATGCCTATCATACAATCCAAAGATACCTGGATGAACCATTTACCTCATACATGCCAGAAGCACTTTTCAATATAGCCCTCTTCTTAATGCTAGAAATGAAGCAGGTCCAGCCCAAAGGAGTGTCACAATTTGCTGTGTTATACACCTTATCCAAACAAGCTCGTGCCTTGGGAGCTTACAAACTTGCAAGGCAAGTCCTTGATAAAATGCAATCATTGCGTATTCCTCCACGGTTCCAAGAGTATGTTAATGTATCTACTCTTATGGTCCGCTCAAAACCTTTCCATGATTCAGAGGAACTACAGCCAATGTGTTACCGCTGTTCCTCATACAACCCTCTTCTGGTTGGCCGGAGTGGAAACCGTTGCTCAAACTGTGGACAGCCTTTCGTCCATTCTTATGTGTCTTTTGAAGTTTTACCCCTTGTTGAATTTGAGTTGGAGTCTGGAATATCAGATGATGAAGCAGTTCGTTTGATTGAAGCTCCGGTCCAGTCTAGTGGAAGTGGAAAGCAATGGACCAGCAGCACCAACAATGGGTACCAAACGCTTCAGCTTCAGCATGATGAAACAAAGTCTGATCCTTTCACTGCAAGGCTTGTTAATTTTGAGGTATTGTATACATTTTTGGGATGATTTTATTTTCTCTAAATGTTTTTATTTTTGGCATGTCAATATATTCTTCTTTCAGAGTGGTAGTGATGATATCAGCCCTGTGATAGTTAATAGATCTACTTTAGAAGCTATGGAACCAAGTACAGTAATAGTGGCTAGCTGGCCACCTCCACTTCGTTACAAGTTCTACAGAAATTTATTGCCAGAACTTCAAATATCACAGTGTGCTTCTTGTTTCAAGGTAGATATAGTATTAAGACACTGGTATAATATCCAATCTTTTTTTAATTGCCAATTTTTAAATTGGAGTGTTCATGTTTTGAATTATTATTATTTTATTTTTGTGTTTGGCAGATGTTTCATGTTGATGATTTTGAACTACAAATGCTTCAAAATGGTCACTGCCCATTTTGCCGGTCAAAACCAGGATCATCTATTTTGGATACAACAGATGAGTTACCTATACCCACCTAGCCATGCAGCTTTGAATTGCGTCCTTGTTTTATGTACGTCACGTTTTGTAGTAGTTTTCTTTTTAAATGTCAAATTGAATTATTATTGTTATTAAGTTTTAAATGTAAGGTCAACTGTTAGACCAATACGCTGTGATTTTTAGTATTATTTTATTTT